AACATTTGCTGTTGTAATAACAATATCTGTTTCTGGTAATAATTGTCTAAATAATGCATATTCTGCATCAATAAGTCTTTGTGATGCAGCATTTGCATATCCAAATTTATTTTCTGCATCTTCATCTACATTTACTGTACAAAATTCTGCTCCAACTGATTCGGCTTGTTCTTTTGCTGCTTTTCTAGTATCAAATGCTTTAACTTGTGCTCCAAGTGCTTTAGCTGTAGAAATAGCTGCAAGTCCTGCAACTCCAACTCCAATAACAAGTACATTAGCTGGTTGTGATTTACCAGCTGCAGTAACTTGTCCCATAAGTAATCTACCAAATTTATTTGATGCTTCAATAACACATCTATATCCTGCAAGATTATTTTGTGATGATAATGCATCCATACATTGTGCTTTAGATAATCTTGGTACACAATCCATTGAAATAACATTAATTCCTTTTTTAACTGCAAGATCAAGTAATTTTAAATTTTTTGCTGGATAAAAAAATGAAATTAATGTTTGTCCTTGTCTCATTTTATTAATTTCTTCTTCTGTTGGTGGATTTACTTTACAAATAATATTTGATTTTTCATATAATTCTTCTTTTGTTTCAGCAATACGACATCCAACACTTCTATAATTTTCATCAGTACATGAGGATAATAAACCTGCTCCTGATTCTATATAAATACCATATCCTCTTGTTCTAAGTTGTTTACAAACTGATGGAACCATAGCAACCATTTTTTCTGGTATATTTTCTTTTGGAATACCAATAAATAAATCTTCAGGATCAATTTTTGTTTGAATTTCTTCTTTTTCTTGAGATAATAATCCTGTTTTTTCTGAATAATTTATTTCTCCTCCATTTGTTATTGTTATTGATTTATTTGTTAATTTTTTAATTTCTTCATTTAATTCTTCAAATCCTTTTTTACAATCACTTAAGAACATTCTTGTATTAGAATAGAAAAATAATGGATTATCTACTGCTGCATATCCTTGATTAAGAGATCTTTTATTAACTACACAAATTTTAGCTTTATAAACATCAATAATTGGCATTCCAGCTAATGGTGATGTTGGATCAGTTTCTGCTATTGGATTAACTGTATCATTTGCTCCACACAATTGC